ACCAGGTTTCTGTGAGCCCTATTATATCAATATCCTACTTTAACACAAGGCACTCTAGTTCACCCATCTTATTATTTAGACTTCTAGCATTTGTGTACAAGCACTTTAAAAACTTGTCACTGTTTATTTGTCTTCCCTTTTCTGATGTGTCAAATTCTTTATGTGAATGTTTCTTGTCTGATCTGGCCCATACTTTATCCTCTTCCATCCTCTCCTCCTGACTAAAACCTAGAGAATCTCTATCAAGAGACTCTCCTCTAAGAGAGGTCTCTGGCTGATCCACGTGCGCCTCTGCAGCAGTCGGCTTTCCCCCATCTCTTAGTTTAATGCCACACAGAAAGCAGAAGGAGAAATAGTTCCAAGGCTAAATTATATAGCTGTTCCTAAACATTTTATATATGATGGTTAAAAGGAAAAAAAAACATTTCATTGTAAAGGAGTACTTGTGGCACCTTAGAGACTAACCAATTTATTTGAGCATAAGCTTTCGTGAGCTACAGCTCACTTCATTGGATGCATACTGTGGAATCTTATGCTCAAATAAATTGGTTAGTCTCTAAGGTGCCACAAGTACTCCTTTTCTTTTTGCGAATACAGACTAACACGGCTGTTACTCTGAAACCTGCCATTTCATTGTGGTACTGCATATATTTAAAACTATGGGACTATGCAGAGTAGGTTCATGTTTAGAAAAACATCATTTATTTTTGAGGGGGAAAATTGAAGTGCTTGTGTGCATACCATGTACAACATTTTTGGGGTGCAAATGCATTAACATGACATATGGATAGGTTCATCTTGTTTATCTGTAATTGCTTCTGTTTCAATGCCTAACTTAACTCGTCATAATTCATTACACCACATATTTACAACTTGTACCATACCATTACCAGAGAGCCATCTTTAAACTTTCCTAAATTGTTCCCTTTCAAAATCAATACTGGAGTGCATGCTGAACAGAATATCACAGTCTTAGCTAGGTCTCCATCTAATTATTAGTTGTAACATCCTTTTCAAGCTGGAAAACAGGTAAGGGCTGACAATTTATGACCAATCACACAGGATACGAGTCTGTTACAGCTCTTCTCTATAGAGCTCATTTGTTCAGCTTAAACTGTAGATGCTCAGGCTTTCGGTTCTGGGGGTCTCGATTCAATTCTTAATGTGTTAGCTAAAATGACAACTGACACACTTTCATATTCCACAGCTGACAAAGTTAGTGAGAAAGATCTTCTGATTACTTGTCTACATGTGGCTAAGATTTCAAATTTGATTGACAAAAAAAAAAAAACCTGTTAGATTTCTCTGCATTCTTCTTGTTCTTGATTACTGTCCTAGAATTTCTCATTTTTATTTTATTATTTTTGCTTATGTAAACCTTACTTGATCTTAAATATTTTGTTTAGTCTTCACTATTGTATAGATTAAATTTCCACCACTACCAACAGTCTGAGACAGAGTCAGAACTATTATGACGTAATAATTTATTTCAAATTCAAGTAAAAATCTTCAATACCTAATACCATGTATAATGTCTAATAGGTTTGAAATAAAAAACTGATCATACCAAGCTGTACTAGATTAGTCCTTCGCTAGTGTTGCCTGCTGTTGCTGTCAAGTGTTCACACTGTGACTGGGTTCATAAAATACATGGTGCTCTGGGTCCATCTTCAAGTCAGTACCATATAACCAGCTAGGGCTGGAAAACATCTACACTTGGGCCATTCACTTATAATGCAAAATGTCCTGGAGTGTGCTTTGCTGTATATGTGGGTGCGAGTTTGTTTTGTTAAGTTCATTTTGAAAAACTCACATTCTATCATTGTGGCATTTAGGACAATGAAAACAATATTTGCATCAAGGGCTATATAATGTGAAAGTTTTGTTAAACCTTTACTTGCACTATCATTTGTTGAGGATTTGGTGGTATTTACATAAACTTTTAGATGTACCACTGATGCAAAACATTCTTCTTTTCTTTCTCACTCAACACTTACGTAGTTTAGCACATTGTCAATCTGTCCACTACCTAGTAGGATGATTTATTTTTTAAATCATTTACCTACCATGTGGAGTCGGGATATCGAAACCATTCAAAAAATGGTTGCTTCAGCCTGGTGAAGCTAGGACCCAGATATTCAATGGCAGTTACAAAACAGAGATAAAATTTTATTTTATCACACTTTGCTTTTAAAGACTGAGAAATATTTATTCCTTTAAATTTGCCATGCTTAAGAATAAGTTTTTGGACATAAGGACCAGTACTGACTTTCGTTGCTGTGAATTCTAGCATAGCACTTTCTAGGATCTGCAAAGCCGCAGACAACAAAAGACCCTCTCATTGAAAAGTAGGAGTCTTCAGTTACAATGGTGAGCTTGCAGGTGGTCATGGTGGGTGTTATCACTTAGTACAGATGGTCTGGAGAAGTTAACATTCAGGCCAGTCTATTGAGTCAGGAGCTCACAGCTTTTCACTCAGTGTTCAGTGCCTTAGCCTCAGTCTCCCGGGCACTGGAGGGTCATGCCAGGGCATCAATTATTTAGGCACTGTCTACTCCTTTTATCCAAAGTCAATTTTTTTTTGGTGCTAGACCTATCTGTACCTCCATTTTAATGGCTTTGTCAATACCGTCTTCTGCAGCTTTTAGGAGGCAACTTGCTATTGCATCCCCTTTTCACATCTTACGCTATCATACCATGGGATCCGGGTGCTCCCAGAATCATCCTCACTGCCATCTGAGACAGACTCTAAGGTTCATTCAGGATCCCTCGCCCTTGTCAGCCATATATTCGCTACTGTTGGTGTGATGCTGTAAAATTCCTAGTGGTTTCACTTTGGACATTTAGTTCAAGGGATGAATCTACCACATCCCTATGGACCAGTAGGCCCTATTGGTCACCAAAGGCTCAACTCCTTCCGGTCAAGAATACCAGATGATATTTCCTTTAAGTGGGTGAAGGGAGACCACCTCTAACCAGATCTAAGTCTCCAAAATGAACGTTGTCATTCTAACAGAAAACACCTTCTCCTTGACCTTCATGTGATTTGGAAGACTGAGAATACTAGAAAGTTTCAGTTAGCTCAAAGTTACAAACCCTCTGGTGTAGGATTAAGGGAGTTCTTGTCAAATTTGTGGATAGGACAATGGCTGCATGTGTGGAAGTCTTCTGAAATAGGGATTTTGGAGAAAAGAGCTTTCCTTTTTAAAGTTATAGGAAGAACTTTCTTCTCTGGTTTTAGAGAAGAGGATGGTGTGGTGCTGTATGGAATCTGGGGGACACTTGAGGATATTATGAATATCAATATTTTAAAATTGTAATGAGTTATGCCAGATAGGCCATGTAAGGTATCTGCAAAAATGTTATAATTTGCCAGATATGATCATCTCATTTATGTGTTTGTATCACCTTTGTATTATGTGTTAAAGATATGTATGTATGTCTGTATTTCAAACTTGTACTATGCTTCTGGGTGACACCCCCAGATAGTTTGGCCATCAGCTCTGCCTACCCTGCTTGCTGGCCCACTGAGGACCATCAACTATACAACTGACCCATTGAGAGAAGGCAGATACACCTTATGACTCAGCAAGGCATGCAGGGACATGCCTATGGACAGAACTCTAAGGCTTTACAGCCAGCCATATGTTGGACAGCTTGTGTTTGAAACAAAGGAAGCACAGGCCACATGGCAAAAGACTATAAAAGGCAGCTGCATCTTCTCCATTTTGTCTTCAATCCTGCTTCTTACCTCTGGAGGAACTTTGCTACAAACTGAAGCTCTGAAAAAAGGTCTGAATGACCCATCCAAGCTGTGGATTTGTTCCAGAAGGACTTTCGAGCCAGCAAACTCACCAGTACTGCTAGGAACCAGATATATGGACTTTGAAGTTTTTGTATGTATGTGACTGCTTTACCATTTAGCATCTCTCTTCTTGTTCTTTCTTTTTTCTTTATAATAAACCTTTAATTTTAGACACTAAAGAATTGGCTGACAATGTTGCATTTTGGGTAAGATCCAAACCTATAGTGACCTGGTAATGTGGCTGATCCTTTGGGATCAGAAGAACATTTTGTATATGTGAACAGAGTTTAAAATAACTTCTCACCGTAGTAGATCTAGGTGCTGACTGGGAGCCAGAGACTGAAATGCAATGGGGGGTAAAGGGGGCTGTGTGATTTCTTTTTTGCTTCTTGATAACCAGTGTGGGAGATCAGAAGTGCAGTTGTGACTGGTTGGGGGAGTTTAACTTCAGTGTTACTTCCAAAACTGGTGGGTATCTGCTTTCCCTTTCGCAGCCTGCCCTTGGCATTTCCAGTGAGGGCTGCCCCAGGCACCCCTGGTCACAGATAGTTCAATGGTTTGGGTGTTAGCCTGGAATTTGGGAGACTCAGGTACAATTCCCTACTTTGGCAATTCATGTGTGACCATGATCAAGTCACTTTCTCTGTGCCTCAGTTCTCCATCTGTAAATTGGACTACTACTACTTTACAACTCCTTTGTGAGGATACAAACATTTCAGATTAAGCAGCACTCAGATGCTATGCTAATGCAGGCTATATAAGAACCTTAGATTGATAGAAAGAAAAGGAGTATTTTCCACTGCATGCATACAATGAAGTGAGCTGTAGCTCACGAAAGCTTATGCTCAAATAAATTTGTTAGTCTCTAAGGTGCCACAAGTACTCCTTTTCTTTTTGTGGATACAGACTAACATGGCTGCTACTCTGAAACCTTAGATTGATAGAGAAAGGCTTGAATGCAACAGCGCTATTACAGTTGTGTTTCTCTACCACACTGACTTTTCTTTGACGCTCAGCAGGACCTCAGTTTATTTAGATTAAAAAATTCAATCACATCTATGCCCTTGTCTGCAAAGCCAGACCAAAATCTACTACCTAATATCCTTAGAGATCTCTGGAATAGCAGCAGTTTATTCAATAATCTTCTGCTAAGAAATGTCACCAAAGACACTTAAGGAAATGTAGTCTCTCTTACCTGAACAGGTTGATTGTATGTAGGTCCTGTCTCAGGAAATGAATTTTTATCTTTAGATGCTCTTCTCTGTTCATTAATTGTATCACCTATCAAAGCAAAAAAATAAATTTATTTTAGTGTAAGGTTTTCTATTTTCCACACAAACTAGTAAATCAATTTCTGGAGTACTAATCTCTAATTATATGATTCACTGTACAAGGGAGATTTAAGTCTACATATGTTATTTCCACATTTATATTTTCCAGCTTGAATTCAAGGAAAAAACCATATACACATGCATTTTGGGAAGCAGTCCACACAATCATAATTGGTGGTGGTCTGTGAGAAAACACATTAAGATGAGACCCAAATTATGAAAAAATCTAGAACCCTTGTTTTATAGTGTTCTGGGAATATTCCAGCAGAGCCATTCTGGAAAAAGCAAAAATGTTGTCAGCCTTTGAGAGGCAGCAGCAAAGTGAGGATCTGGAGCTCAAGCACATCACATACGCAGTTAAAAAGCATGCACCAGACAGTTGTCTTCAAAAAGATGTGGTGGATGCCACAGCTGTAGCAGGCAAAATCATAGTAAAATTCTAAAGACCATGAACTTGAATTGATCTTGAGTAGCAAAAGTACAAATAATAATTTTAACAAACAATATAAAAGAGTGGTGAGCAGATAATTTGGAAAGGTGCAAAAATTATTGTAGTCAGATTATCCCGTATACTCCCAATTATCCAAATAGCATATGAACATAAGAATAGCCATACTGGCTCAGACCAATGGTATATCTAGCCCTGTATCCTGTCTTTCAACAGTGGCAAGTGACAGATGCTTCAGAAGGAATGAACAAAAAAGGCAATTTATCAAGTGATCTATCCCCTGTAGTCAAGTCCCAGCTGCAAGCAGTTAGAGATTTTGGGGACACCCAGAGCATGGGTTTGCGTCCCTGACCATCTGAGCTAATAACCATTGATGGACCTATCCTGAATGAACTTATCTAATTCTTCTTTTTAAACTCAGTTGTACTTTTGGCCTTCACAACATCTCCTGGAAAGGAGTTCCACAGGTTGATTGTGTATTGTGTGAAGTAGTACTTCCTTATGTTTGTTTTAAACCTGCTGCCTATTAATTTCATTGGGTGACTCCTGGTTCACGTGTTACATGAACACTTCCTTATTCACTTTTTCCACACCATTCATGATTTTATAGTCTGCCATCATTTCCTCTGTTAGTTGTCTCTTTTCCAAGTTGAAAAGTCGCAGTCTTATTATTCTCTCTTCTTTTGGAAACTGTTCCATTCCCCTATTCATTTTTATTGCCCCTCTCTGTGCTGCTTCCAATTATAATATTTCTATTTAGAGATGTGACAACCAGAACTGCTCACGGTATTTAAGGTGTGGGCATATCAGGGATTTATATAGTGGCATGATGATATTTTCTGTCTTATTATCTGTCCCTTTCCTAATGGCTCCTAACGTTGTGTTAATTTTTTGGACTACCACGGCACATTGAGCAGATGTTTTCATAGATTCATAGATACTAAGGTCAGAAGGGACCATTATGATCATCTAGTCTGACCTCCCGCACAACGCAGGCCACAGAATTTCACCCACCCACTCCTGCGAAAAACCTCTCACCTATGAGCTAGTGAAGTCCTCAAATCATGGTTTAAAGGCTTCAAGGAGCAGAGAATCCTCCAGCAAGTGACCCGTGCCCCATGCTACAGAGGAAGGCGAAAAACTTCCAGAGCCTCTTCCAATCTGCCCTGCAGGAAAATTCCTTCCCGACCCCATATATGGCGATCAGCTAAACCCTGAGTATATGGGCAAGATTCACCAGCCAGATACTACAGAAGATTCTTTCCTGGGTAACTCAAATCCCACCCCATCTAACATCCCATCACAGGCCATTAGGCCTATTTATCATGAATATTTAATTACCAAAACCATGTTATCCCATCATACCATCTCCTCTATAAACTTATCGAGTTTAATCTTAAATCCAGATAGATCTTTTGCCCCCACTGCTTCCCTTGGAAGGCTATTCCAAAACTTCACTCCTCTGACGGTTAGAAACCTTTGTCTAATTTCAAGTCTAAACTTCCTGGTGGCCAGTTTATATCCATTAGTTCTTGTGTCCACATTGGTACTGAGCTTAAATAATTCCTCTCCTTCTCCGGTATTAATCCCTTTGATATATTTATAGAGAGCAATCATATCTCCCCTCAACCTTCTTTTAGTTAGGCTAAACAAGCCAAGCTCCTTGAGTCTCCTTTCATAAGACAAGTTTTCCATTCCCCGGATCATCCTAGTAGCCCTTCTCTGTACCTGTTCCAGTTTGAATTCATCCTTCTTAAACATGGGAGACCAGAACTGCACACAGTATTCCAGGTGAGGTCTCACCAGTGCCTTGTATAACGGTACTAAAACCTCCTTATCCCTACTGGAAATACCTCTCCTTATGCATCCCAAGACCGCATTAGCTTTTTTCACAGCCAAATCACATTGGCGGCTCATAGTCATCCTATGATCAACCAGTACTCCAAGGTCCTTCTCCTCCTCCGTTACTTCTAATTGATGCGTCCCCAGTTTATAACTAAAATTCTTGTTATTAATCCCTAAATGCACGACCTTACACTTCTCACTATCAAATTTCATCCTATTACTATTACTCCAGTTTACAAGGTCATCCAGATCCTCCTGTAGGATACCCCTGTCCTCCTCTAAATTGGCAATACCTCCCAGCTTTGTATCATCTGCAAACTTTATTAGCACTGTCATAAATGTAAAGGGAAGGGTAAAACCCTTTAAAATCCCACCTGGCCAGAGGATAAATCCTCTCACCTCTAAAGGGTTAAGAAGCTAAAGGTAACCTCGCTGGCACCTGACCAAAATGACCAATGAGGAGACAAGATACTTTCAAAGCTGGGAGGAGGGAGAGAAACAAAGGGTCTGTGTCTGTTGGTATGCTGCTTTGCCGGGGATAGAACAGGAATGGAGTCTTAGAACTTTTAGTAAGTAATCTAGCTAGGTATGCGTTAGATTATGATTTCTTTAAATGGCTGAGAAAAGAATTGTGCTGAATAGAATGACTATTTCTGTCTGTGTGTCTTTTTTGTAACTTAAGGTTTTGCCTAGAGGGATTCTCTATGTTGTGAATCTAATTACCCTGTAAGGTATCTACCATCCTGATTTTACAGGGGTGATTCCTTTACTTCTATCTACTTCTATTTCTATTAAAAGTCTTCTTGTAAGAAAACTGAATGCTTTTTCATTGTTCTCAGATCCAAGGGTTTGGGTCTGTGGTCACCTATGCAAATTGGTGAGGATTTTTACCAAACTTTTCCCAGGAAGTGGGGTGCAAGGGTTGGGAGGATTTTGGGGGGAAAGACGTGTCCAAACTACGTTTCCCAGTAAACCCAGTTAGAGTTTGGTGGTGGCAGTGGTTATTCCAAGGACAAAGGATAAAATTAATTTGTACCTTGGGGAAGTTTTTAACCTAAGCTGGTAAAAGTAAGCTTAGGAGGTTTTCATGCAGGTCCCCACATCTGTACCCTAGAGTTCAGAGTGGGGGAGGAACCTTGACAAGCACACTCCCACTTTTTGTGCCAATGTCAGTAATAAAAAGGTTAAATAAAATTGGTCCCAAAACTGATCCTTGAGGAACTCCACTGGTAACCTCCCTCCAGCCTGACAGTTCACCTTTCAGTAGGACCCGTTGTAGTCTCCCCTTTAACCAATTTCTTATCCACCTTTCAATTTTCATATTGATCCCCATCTTTTCCAATTTAACTAATAATTCCCCATGTGGCACGGTATCAAACGCCTTACTGAAATCTAGGTAAATTAGATCCACTGTTTCCTTTGTCTAAAAAATCTGTTACTTTTTCAAAGAAGGAGATCAGGTTGGTTTGTCACAATCTACCTTTTGTAAAACCATTTTGTATTTTGTCCCATTTACCACTGACATCAATGTCCTTACTACTTTCTCCTTCAAAATTTTTTCCAAGACCTTGCATACTACAGATGTCAAATTAACAGGCCCATAGTTACCTGGATCACCTTTTTTCCCTTTCTTAAAGATCAGAACTATGTTAGCAATTCTCCAATCATACGGTACAACCCCTGAGTTTACAAACTCATTAAAAATTATTGCTAATCGGCTTGCAACTTTGGGTGCCAATTCCTTTAATATTCTTGGATGAAGATTATCTGGGCCCCCCGATTTAGTCCCATTAAGCTGTTTGAGTTTTGCTTCTACCTCAGATATGGTAATATCTACCTCTATATCCTCATTCCCATTTGTCATGCTACCATTATCCCTAAGATCCTCTTTAGCCTTAAAGACTGAGGCAAAGTATTTGTTTAGATATTGGGCCATATCAGAGCACTATCCACAATGACTCCAAGATCTATTTCTTGAGTGGTAACAGCTAATTTAGAGAACATCATTTTGTATGTTTAGTTGGGGATGATGTTTCCCCAATGTGCATTACTTTGCATTTATCAACACTGAATTTCATTTGCCATTTTGTTACCCAGTTTGGTGAGATCCCTTTGTAACTCTTTGCGTGTTGGCTAGTTTTTGGGCTTGTTGTTGTTGCTTTTTTTTTTTTTTATTGGCTCCCGCCCCTGGCCTGCCCCCAGGCCCAGCCAATTGGAAAGCTTGAATGGTGATTGGAATTTGGCTCCAGCTGCTACGTCGCCTGGTGCCTATGCATGGTAATATGCAGGCGGGGCGATTTGACATGCACGTGGACTCCTGTGCTTTGTTAAAAAATAATTTAAAGATCCTGCCTGGCTCCTGTCACCCCACCAGACAGTGCTGGGGCTGGGGGAGGGTGAGTCAGGCCAGCTGCACCAGGAGTGGGGCAGAGGTAGGTAGGGATGGCTGGGGGTAAGGGGTAGAGCAGGTAACAGGACCGCTGGGGAGCAGAGCTGGGCTGAGCTGCGGAGGACTGGAGCCTGGCTTGGGGGCAGCAGAAGTGGCCAGGGATGGTGGGAAATTGGCAGAGGGATGGGGATTAGCTGGAACACATTGTCACAGATCTGTTACCTAAAAAGAATGGCTCAGGTATGGGAATTTCCCTCACATCCTATTC